TAAAAATCTGATCATAATAAAATTATTAATACCCCTGACATAGTTTTGATTACTTAGTTGATTTAACACCCCAGTACGTATGTACATAGATAAAGTCGATAAAGGTATTGCAATATTGAGGTAAGGATTTACTGAATGCTTCTATGTAATGTGTTTAGTACGAGACGGGGTGGGAAAGTCACGTTCGTGCTACCTGCCGCTTAAAAATCTGCATTATCGTTATCAGACCATCGGTAAAAAAAAGATCATTAAGGAATATTTAAGGTGATATTTATAGACCCCAGCTAGGGATTACGGCAAAAAGTCTTTTTCACGACCTTAACAATTTTTTTTTAAACTCTTAATAAAATGGAAAAATATAAAGAAAAATTTTTGTTTTTTAATGCTCAAGTTGACAAACATCTTTCAAACTATCCTATAATTTGTGACTTGGAAAAAAAAACCAATGTTCCAAAAACTTATATGGCCGGTGGTGTCGTAGCTTTTGTGTTTATGTTGATCTTTTTCAACGTTTGGGGCGAACTACTTTCCGATATTATTGGCTGGCTTTACCCAGGTATGCATAGAGAAAGTATCAGAAACTTACATACGTTACAAATTGTCTAATTCGGCGAATATTTTTTATACAGCTTATGCTTCATTCAAGGCTATTGAAAGCCCAGAGAAAACAGACGAAGTTCAATGGCTTACATACTGGCAAAAAAAAAGCTTTAAATAAATTTTTAATGTACAAATTTTATATGTTGACGTATTTTGGATGTAATATTACATTATCAGATTTATGTTTCGTCATTTTGATTGAACATTATATCATATTTTATTTTAGGACGGTGTTCGGATTTGTTCAGATGGCAGAATTCTTTTCTGACTTCATTCTCTATTGGGTTCCATTCTATTTTCCCTCCAAAACTGTCTTTTTCCTTTGGTGAGGTTTTATCTTTAAAAAAAATATATATATAAATGATTAAAGGAAAATTTTAACATTAAATTAAATTTCTTACTTCCGCATATTCAAATATAGGCTCTTCCTTCCACCTTTCAAAGGTGCCCAAATTATTTATCAAAAATTCTTAGGGCCAACTCTCAAGGCATATGAAAGTGTCATTGATAAGAACTTAAAGAACTTGAAAGACAAAATTGAAGATGCAACAAAAGAAGCTACTAAAAACATAATTGATTCTACTAAATCAGAACATTTGGAATAAGATGTATTTATAATGGTTTGATGCGCTTTCTTGAACCTGCAAATATTTAATTATTTTTTCATTCATTTTACTTTTTTAAATATTCACTTTCTAAATATTTGGTTTTTGTTAAATATTAGTCTTTTGTAAATTTTATGAACGAGATTAAAAATGTATAGTTCAAATTTTTGTGTAACATTAGTCCTTGTCTCTAGTCCTGAAGAAAATAATGTATCACAAATCCGATATGGGTTTATCTGTACAAATATTAAACTAAATATTCAACTTTTTTGGGTAAAAAGTCATTAACAAGAATTGCTGTGTTTATTGAGTAATATCATATGATAACGGATAGAAGTTCAGAAGTTTATCGTTATCCTTTTTGTTGTTTATAAACAACAATCTAATAATTGTCTTTAGTTGACTTTATTTAGCTATGTGTGATTTTGATACATAATCCAGAAATCTCCAAATCATTGTATATAAATAGAATTAGAATTAGGATTTTAGGGTTAGAGTTGGTGTTAGGTATGTATAGGTTTAGAATATAAAAATTTTACTTTTGGTGATAAAAATTACAATACGTATCGGTATACTCATCCGGGACTGTCCCAATCCGGGTATAAATTTGTATGTATAAAAAACCATTATGATAAATACGGTATAACGTTATAAAAAACTAAGCCTTAGGGCGTTCTCAAGCACCCAACCTCAATGAATCCAATAAAAATCTGATTGGCTAGTTTGATTAAACAGACCAATCAGATTCGTTATTGAGTCTATTGAGGTGGGTGCTTGAGAACGTCTTAAAAATAAAGAACAGACACTATACTGTGACTAACTGCTAAGATAATAGCCTATACAATTTAGATTGGTTTTTCTTTTAAATGTTGAAAGTGAAAATCTATAATTGTATACAACACTCATATTCAAATAATTTTAAGGTTTATCAATAAACTTTAAAAAAAAAACCCAGCAATTTAACTATTTTTTTTTTTTTTTTGAAAGCAGTACAGTATACTTCATCTAAGATTGATAAATGTTTATTTGAACCTATATATTTATGTAAATATTACTTTTTCAAATAAATTAAAGGTTTTTTTTTTATAAATACTAATTAAAAAGAAAATAATAATAATAATAATTCTTCATAAATTAAAGAATTAATGACTATCCTATTAACAAAGTTACAAATTATGAGCATGTCTAAAGTTTTCACCCGCATAAATAGCATCAGCACCTAATTCTTCTTCAATACGCAATAATTGATTATATTTAGCCAATCGTTCGGAGCGGCATGGTGCACCAGTTTTAATCTGCCCGGTACGTAAACCAACCACAAGATCAGCAATAAAAGTATCTTCAGTTTCTCCAGATCGATGAGAAACCATTACACCCCATCCATTAGATTGAGATAATTTGGCACTTATTATTATAAAAAAATTTTCTTAATAAAAGGGATAAATAGTGAATAATCAAATATTAAATTAAATTAATACTTACGCTTCAATAGACTCACTAACAGAACCAATTTGATTGACCTTTAACAGAAGGGCATTACAAGCCTCTTTTTCTATAGCAGTAGCAATTCTAGTAGGATTAGTGACAGTCAAATCATCACCAACAATTTGGATATTGGAAGATTTATTAAGATAACTCCAAGCAGACCAATCGTCTTGGTCAAATGGATCTTCAATTGAAACGATGGGATATTCCTGAATGAATTCTTTATACAAATTAGCAAGATTTTCACCAGGCAACCATTTAGATTTGTCAGAATTTGGATTTTTAAAATCTAAATCATATAAACAATCTTTATAAAATTCAGAAGCAGCCACATCCATAGCAATCTTTACTTTATCAGTATAACCAGCTTTTTTAATGGCTTCTTTGAGCAATTCAAGTCCTTCTTTGTTATCTTGTATATTTGGAGCGAAACCACCCTCATCACCAACGTTAGTGGCATCTTGACCATATTTTGATTTGATAACAGATTTCAAAGAATGATAAACTTCAGATCCAATCTTCATAGCTTCAGTAAAAGAACATGCACCAGTTGGAAGAATCATAAATTCTTGCATAGCGAGTTTATTACCAGCGTGAGAACCACCATTGATCACATTAAAAGCAGGTACGGGAAGAACATAAGGTTTTTTACTTCCAGCAAGATCAGCTATGTGTGCATAAAGTGGAATGCCCTGCGCAATAACATTATTGTACCATTATTTGATAAATAAAAAATAATGAAGATCCATATATAATATCTTATAATACTGTAACTATACCTTTTCAGCAGCACCAGCCTTAGCGACAGCAAGAGATACACCAAGAATTGCATTTGCACCAAGATTTGATTTATTTGGGGTTTTATCCAAATTCAGGAGAAAATCATCAACAGCTTTTTGATCCTTGACATCCAAATTTGCTTTTATAAGTTCAGGTGCAATTTTATCGTTTACATTGGAAACAGCTCGCGATACACCTAAAAACGTATATATGCACAAATGAATTATACAAAACAGAAAAATGGAAGATATTAACAAATCGTTGTTATTATTTTTATACCTTTGCCAACATAATCTTGTTTTATTCCGTCACGTAATTCCAAAGCTTCATGAATTCCAGTGGAAGCACCAGATGGTACAGCAGCTCTAAAAACGCCTGAATTTTTAAAGGTTAAAATAAAGCGTTATAATAACGAAATATAAAAAACACGAAATAAATGGAATGAATTGTTTATAGTTCATTTAATTAATACCTTTATCTGTTACAAGATCAACTTCGACGGTAGGGTTACCACGAGAATCAAAAATTTGACGAGCGTGAACTTTAATAATAGCCATTTTTATTTATCTCGTTCTTTCTTTTCTTTTCTTTTTTTTTTTTTTTTTATTAACTAAAGCACGTATGTATATATTTAAATATTTTCTCAGGTATCATAATTTTATACTTGCGTTTAAGCATGATGTGTAACGAATAAGATTGAAAATCTATCAACTATCTATCGACTATCTATCGCCCGATGTTTAGAATCTATTTCGGTTTAACGCGATAAACAAATATGTCATTGGTTGTTTATCACTTATTTATACGACTATATGAAATCATGGTCATGTTTGAATAGCACAAGATCAGTGGTCAGCAAATTTTTTTAAAAGACATATATCGATATCGATTATATATAAATATACATATTATATATCAGATATATGTATACTTGGATAAATATATGAATGTAAAATCATAAAAATATTTTTACGTGATAATACGTGATAAACTAAATAAAGTATATACAAGATGACAAACAATAAATGGTATCATTTTTCATGTGGATTCAGGAAGAAACATAGCAAGAATATCAGATAAAGTGATAACACCAATAGGTACATCATCTTCATCAACAACCCAAGCACGATGAGTTTTACTAGTGAGGATACCGGCCATCACTTGACTTAAAGTGAATTTACCATGACAAGTAAATGGTTTAATTAAAGCACCTTTACAAGACACCAAAAACATAATCACTGGTTTCTTCAAATCAGAAAGTCGTTCTCGATTCAATCCTCGAAGATCTGCAGCAGAAACTTCACTCACAATACTTCCATCACCATTAACAACAGCCACAGCACTAACTTCATCTTGATGAATTTTTCGAAAAGCTGCCAAAGCTTGATCATGAATAGTAACCGAAGATGGCTGTCTTAATAAATTTTGTCTCTCAAAAGTTAAAGTTTCACTCACTCTAATCGCTTTATTGATAACATCAGAAGCCATAGTATCCAAGATTCTACCCAATCGATGATTATTTTGAAATAAGAATCTAACAACATCGGTTTGAGATATGAAACAAGGTTGAGTTTCTTCTTCATTAATAACATCTCCAACATCTGGATCTTCATTTGAAATTTTATCAGTGACCAATACTCGATGAATTTGACGACGAGTGAATAAATCCAAAAGATAGGCAAGGGAATCTTCAGTATGACATATAGTAAGATGTGTACTCTCAGGGGTTAAACCGATAAGTTCCCCAATTGGTTTTTGTAAAAAGGTGGATTTTCTGTCCAAATTTGTATCTTCTTCATCATTCCCTTCATAATTCCTATGATCATTATTATTCCCGTTCACGTTATCAAATATGGGCTATAAAAAATTACATAAAAAATTATTATAAGAAAATTATTTGAATATTCGTTATTTTATTTTATTTTATTTTTTAAAGAAAAAAATTACCTGTAGACACACGAAAGCAACAAGGTCTGTTACGTTGACGATTGCTACAGGTCGCTTATGCCCTCTCCAGAGTCGGTAAACAGGTATACTTAAAATATTTTCTGCTAATAATACATCAAAAACTTCTTCTATTGTCGCCGTTATCGGTATCTCAATAAGGGTTGGTTCGTCTTGTTTGGAGTTTCTAACGGCTCCCACTGTTTGTCCTTTTACAAAACTTGATAAAGCACACATCGTATCGAATTTTTTAATAATTTTCAAGTAAAAGGAGACGTTTTCCAATGTAAATGTGAATTTAGGTCGACTTTTATATTGTGTGATTTTTTAAATGGTAATCTGTAATCTGTGAACTACAATCCTTAACTAACTTCACAATGTATAAAAAAAAAAATGATACGTATAAATGATAATTAATGATAATTGATATATGCGATAGGAGGACCCTTGACTGTGTTTTGTACGTAGGTGCATCCACATCAAGAATGATCTTCCTGTGACATCATTGTCGATTAATAATTTCGGAAATTTCTTTGGGAATGCGAACCATGCGACATTTGTTCTTAAATACTGTTAAACTTCTATCCCGCACTATTGCTTCTACGGTAATTTCATTACTAATCATTCGTCGCTATTTAAGCATTCATCCAATAAGAGTTTGTTTCATCCATATTAATATTAATATTATAATTACTATATATTATGAATTAAAAATTTTATATACCTTCGATTCTTCTACAAACATCTGATTCTTTAGATCGTTATCATACGGATCATCTGTTAGTGCTTTTTGCTTTTTTTCTAATTCCTGATCTATAATCTGTAAATCATGTGAGAAACCTTGTAAAAACCGGTTACTTTATCTGGTTTTCTTACGTACCTTTAAGCACTGATTTATAATTTGTTCTCTTTTTGAATACGCTTTAGTCAACTGTTTAAAGAATTCTGCGCATGCTTGTTCTGAATGTGTATCTGTTGTATTCATTCTTAAAATAATGTTATCATCTATCTTTCTATATTCTTTCATAAGATCTTTTAAAAGCAGTTGGTTATTTATATGTTAATTTATACATTTTACATATCAACATTAAAACTTTTTTATCCCCTACCTTTAAAATATGTCAGATTATAACAGATATTACTATTGATTTCTATTTCTTCCATTTTAATTATACTTTTTTCTAAAATTACGAAACTATCGTTATTAATATTTTATATATATTTATTAAATTTTTTTGGATTTGAAATCGGGTAAACTATTATAACGCACGGCGTCTATATATATATATATTCGAGATTTTTTTTTTTTTTTTTTTATCGATCAAATCTATTCACGTGTCGTATCATGAAACTCATAGTCTCTGCACATGATCGTGCACATAATCGATTTTGATTGCTAATTATTATAATACTGTATATCTGATATACAGTATATGTTGTAAGTGGGACCGGAATCCAGGGTTGGATTTTTAGTATAATTATTCCGTTCTAACCTTAAAAATTCCGAATCAACTTAAATTCTAAAATCTTCAAATATTTTATATATATAATTTTTTATTATATTAAGCCATGCGGTCTAATAAAAAAAAGAATAAAATCAACATGTGAATTATAATATGTCAAACCACTAGAAGTATTCGAATGTTCAATGAATATCCGATGATTTTATTCGGATATTAATTTAGTTTTTTTAACCAATATCTGGATATTAAAAAGTTAGATTAATAAATATCCAGATGGTTAGTTTTCACTGGACAAATCATATCTCAAATATTCAATTCTTTCAGGGATTTTTTTTACAAAGTGTATTGATTAATACATTTCATTCTTCTAATTTGTGTTCATATTATAAGATTCAAAGAAACCAGGCGAGTGTTCTTGTAAGTGCATCTATTAATGCTATTTTCTTCTCTTGCTCTTGCAAGATATACTTGCTAAGGTTTTTTAACCTTTTGATTCAAGTTATTAGAACATGAGTCAACATGATATTCTTTTGTTAATGCCTTTCTACTTCAATTTATTAAGTATGCTCAACTCTGATTGGTCAACTTAAATACTGCGCCTCATAAAATATAAATTCTTTTCCTGACTTGGTCAGGTTATAAGAACCAAAAAATTAACTTTGTCTGGTCTAAACTACAGAATTAAAATAAAAAAATTTTAATTGAATTTGATTAAATCTTGCAAAATTAATTAATTGGTTTTCATAATCTGGCCAGGTTAAAATTTGAAAATTTCAAAAAAAAAAATTTTTTTTTATTAGCTCAAGCTATCTCTAATTCATGTACTTTAACCAAGGTTCTAAGTATTATATAAACCAATTCTGCAAAGCTTGATTAGCTTGATAGAAATTAAGCAAAGCTTAAATATTTGATTAGAAAACAACAAGTACAACTTGATAAAATTTTAAAAAAATTTGACAATATTAATAAATTTAAAAAAAAGCTTTTAAGCAAAACAACAGATAATCTTCTTTAAATATAAATCCCTTTTATTTATATATATATATTTTTTTTTTAAATATTAAGGTGACCACTTAGGCCCTTGGCACTTTATTAGTACAAGCGGTAGGCTAATGTTAATTTTAACACCGGCTTTACATATTATATCAGTATCACGAGAGTACAACTAGTCACATGTACAACTTTTGATTGCCTATTTAAGTAGTCCGCCTGAAGCATTAGTGCTATGCTAAGGGTTCTACACTAGCTATCATACCTATAGCCTAACTAGGAAGCTGTCTATTTAAACTCTCTGGCTTCAACTGACATCACATGTTTCCTTCTAATATACCCCTTTCGAGAACAGTAATTTACTGTGAAAGACCCTAAGACTTTAGCCAACAATAGAAGGCATTTATTCTTGTAGTAAACCCAACAGAGTGGTACATATTTCACATATGTATTCACCTGCATGTTCGGCAATTTCTTCTCAATTAGTATATATTGTCTGCCGCTATTGTGTTTATATCTCAAGCCATCTTTTGGGGTGCTGCCATAACACAATTCGTATCTCAAGTCCAACCTTCCTAATTAGTCACCCATTGCATACTCCTTGCCCTTACAAAGTTCACAATAACCCCAGTCTCCACATTCTAGCCATTTCTTTACCCGGTTTCTTTATCGGTCCATCCCTAACTTCCAACCGGCAACCCGGACAGGTCGGTCTGCCTAGGCTTTAAGTGCCTAAAGAACGCCCTCCTCTTGGTCCATACTTTTGAAGCATATAGCCTTTTCCTCCAGTGTGTCAACTGGTGGTTCAGTTGGTGTGTCCCCTACTAAAGGACCTGATTGCTGGGTTCTCCAATCTCAGGCCCCAGTTCAAATTCAGCCTTCTTGTAGAACTATTGAAAGACCGCTATTCCCAATTCAGGACTTCCCAGGCGAGTTCCCTGTAGTTTTACTAATCCCCAAGCTTTATGTGACCTAATTGGCTCCCAACCGGATCTTCCAGATACAGGCATGTACCCCTTGGACTAGTGCCAAACAGACTTCCATGCATGTATTGGTACAACTCAAATTACAGATCTTCAGATTCGATAATTACTACTAGTTACAGTAACACAGGCCTATTTTTCAAAATTCGTCATCTGTGGGATTCGAACTCTAAACCTGCCACCTGGTGGGGTGACGACTAGACCACTTCACTAAGCTGCCACACCTACATAAAATTAGAATTAATTAGTAAAATTTTGAGAATCATAGCATTTTTAGTATTTTTATTAATAAAATTATACAAAACATTAAG